TAATAGCACCTTATTTTCTTTCTTTTCCACCACAATCAAAGTTCCACTTCTAATAATCTGACATTTCCCTGGTGAAGGAGCTCTGTCAGAAAGCGTGCAGCATTTCCAGCTGCAGAATTTCTTCCTAAACTGAGGAAACTTGTCAAACCTTAAGGCTAATTGATCCAGCATTGCAGGGGTTAAACACCATTTTTAGGAAATCAATTTAAATCAAAAGTCAGGGATTAAAATAAACTCTTTTCTCTGTACAGCTTCTGCCTAAAGAACTGCAGACTTTCTTGGTTTGAAGAATTCCTATTTGCAAGGGAATTGTAACCAGAAATGTTAGAAATACAAATAAGACGGCATTTTATGGAAAGCAGAGGTGTCTGTAAACTGTTCCTGACTGCAGCAGATTTCTTCCTCAAAAAATGGTCTCATCTCCACTTTCTAATTAGAGAGTTAGATTTGGTTAACAGCATTCCTGCCACCTGAGTAGCAGGACCTGTATTTAGGAGGTATGTACAAACTCTACAGAGTCTACCTAGTAGCACTAATGTAGAACTACGGTAAATTTTATCCATGTGGCACGATTAAGGTTATTTTGGCTTACTGTAGTTGTCATGAGTGTTTGAGATGTTTTATTTATAATTCCCTTTCTTTTGAATTCTTTTCTGTTGACAAAGCATAAAAATATTTCAAAGCATGTTTCCATTTAGGAGCCTGGACTACTCAAAAACTTTGACTTTTATGCCTCTTAGCTGGTCTGGTTAGCTTATTAAAACAGAAATTGCTTAACAAAGGATTTACTAATGTCAATTGTTGCAATTGAGTCCTGAAATACGTTTCTAAATGAGACTCAAGTCTATCTACTGGGACAGTTGTGGAGGGTTTTTTCCACTCCTAATGCTCTTATTTATTTATAGCCATCAGCATGACTACTTTCATGGAAGTAAAGCCCCTCATTTCTGAGTATATACTGTAAATTCAGTTTCATGACAAATAACTTTGTTGTAGTTTGAGCTGTAAGAGCCATAAAACCCCAAACAGAAAGGGTTAAGATGACATTTTCCTTAGAAAATGCCTGTCCACCAAAATTGCAAGCAGTATCATAACCTTCTAGGGTTTTTTTTTTTTGGTTTTTTTTTTGAAAGTTCTGAATTTTGGCTGCTAGATCAGAGCCAATTGCTCCAATAGAACTCTGTTGAAGCTTTTGGCTCGGGCAGAAAAGACTAAATAGATGTACTCTTCCTAGGTTATGTCTGTTCGATTTGAATTTTTCACAGGGAAAAGCCTTGTTTGCCAAGGTGGCTAGGTACATTTCTCTAATGTACCTGATAAAAACATTGAAATATTTTGATCATAAACTGATACAGAAAATGCGTATTTCTTTACGATCAAGTTGCAGGAGGAAGTTATTTTCTTCTATCCAGATTTACTCCCAAAACACAATATTTACTGGCCAGTCTGTGTAATGGTGCAATCTATGCACACAAATATAGAGGGAAAGACAGACAACTTTCATAAGAATAGTTATTCCAAAATGATTTACTGGGAAAGCAAGTCTTTTGAGTTGTAATGACTATTTAGAAATGTTGTTTAGCTTAGAATCAAGCTAAGAACATGAAGGAAACACCCACACCAGGAAACCGATGCACTTAATTAGATCTTGAATTTGCATTCAGTTTAGGGATGGATTGGGCTAATTTTTCTCCCTTTTGTGTGCACTTTTGCAGAGCATAATTGGCAGGGGGCAATTGAGTTATTTCATTTATCTTCCCAGAATCTGAGTCTGCTGCTACAGGCTGTCAGCTACCAGCAAACGAGCACTTCATTTAAAATACTGTTGAAAAGTTGGGTTCAGTCCTGTTGCATCTGGTATGCAGATGGGATGCTACTTTTTGTTCAAATAAACAGAAGAAGCAATTAAGCCCCTTTTGGAGTAAGATATCTGAAACAATAGGAGGCACCATCTGAAACACAAGCTCAATCAGATGCTGAATGATGTGGATAGCAGAGTTTCATAAAAGGTTGAATGCAAGCATAGATTGGCTAAGTGTGGTTTGGGGCTTTTTTTGCTTTGCTTTTCCCTTGTTTTTGGAGTTATCGGTGTATGAACAAAGATATGACCAGAAGGAGAGATAGCAGCAAGAGAGGATGGAGAAAAAAGTCCTGAAGTCCACAGGATTTTCTTGTGTCCTGTATTACTCTGAAATACCAAAAACATGACAGCAGGCTTTGCCTTCCTGCCTGGTAGTTCTTTGTAGGACCCCATGGCCCCACAGACTGTCACTACTGCAGAACAATGGAAGATGACTAACTCGACCTGTGACAAAACAACTGGTACTCAAAGATACTTGTTTTTTGGATTTGCAGGCATCTCATTGACTCACAGAAGAATGTTTGCATCTCTAATTGCTATTACTCTTCTTTTTACACTTGGAATTAGTTTAATGACAAAAACAATCCTGTGCCTTTCTTCCTCTTTTTTTTTTTTTTTTTTTTTTCCTGACTGTTGCTGACTGTTTTTGGCAGCATAATATTTGTCCCAGTAGAAAGGACCGCTGATACACAGAAATATATGTACAGCACAGAACCATATACTAAATCTTTTTTGGAAAAAAAATACTTAAATGATGCATTAGTTGTCCTCAAGAATGTCATACTGGCATAGGAAGTGGCAAACCTATGTACTCACAGTTTTTGGAATGTGATGTGTCGTTTTAAAATAACTTTTTCATATGTCGCATTAAGTTACACTTCAGTAACACAGATAAATTAGTCTTCATCCTGCCTTTTCTTTTTTTAAGAGTGTGTGTTTTTTAACATGACAGCATAACTTCTCTTGTTTTCCTGTGAAACGTGGAAGTAAGATTTCTTCCCAAAGGCTCCACCTGCCTATCTTGGAGGAACTTCTCCATTTAATGGATAACAAGGAGTTTTGGTGGGTGAGACATTAGCATCCATCCTCCAAATTCTAAGCTCATATCAATGGTAGTGCAAATGACTGACCACTACTTTTAAAGGTCATGTAAATACAAACAGTTGACCTTGAAATAAGAAAAGTTACTGTTTTACTATTGTTAACATTATGACTTTTTTTTACTTAAATCAAAAAAATTGCCACTCGTTCTGAAGGTAGAAATAGAAAAAGTTTTACAATATTTTTATAAAGTGTATCAAAATGTTTTGCATCTGCAATTGCCATGTACAAATGCAAAGGAAGTAAATGTAGGAGCCATAAAATACCTAACTCAGCTTTAGCTGCAACTAGTTTTTGTGGTCCTACAATTGAGTTATAAAAGCAGAAAATTATCACAGCCCTTACACTTGGTTTCTTACAATGCCATAGATGCTTCCTATAACTGAAATCATGAGATCTCTGTGGACCCCACTTTCCCATCTGTGGAGTAGAATTAGAATCTCTTCCTTAGCCTATAATGTCACTATGAGAATAACCACATAAGTAATAATGGCTTTGGCACCATCCTGCAAGGGCTGTGGGTAGGAAATGATAGATCCTTGGGATCCTAAAGGCTCCAGATTCAAAAATAAGGAATTTAATATATATATTTTTTTCTATTAACACAACTTCCCAGGGTATGAGTGCAGTGGGAATAAGTATAGAGAGGGCAAAACACAGTAAATAAAAATATAAATCACTGGAAAGAAGGCATCTGAGACCATGAACCTCCAAATCTTCTAATTTTCTGAAGTCCTATTAGGTATCATGATTTGTGGGGATGATCTTGTTGAAGCTGGGATTAACAAAAGATATAAGAAGCAGAGGGTTTTGTTATGCAATAAAATATCTCTTATTAAACCAGATAACATACATGGCGAGAAAAAGTAGGTGAACTTTCTGACCCATCTCGTACCTGAAACACGGTCTGAGGAAGATTGTGGGTGTGTCCATCCATCTAATAAGAGGTACTAAATCTTCTTACAAACTTTGTCATGTACAATACAGTACACGGTTAAAATACATAAATCAAAATCTCTACATAAAAAGCTTGATAAATAATAGTGCAAAAACAAGAAAATATTTTGGTTAAGGTCATACAAAAGCAGAATTTATGGAGGGTTTTGAGTAAAATGAAAAATAAAACTTTGTATCAATTAAAATTCTACCTGAGTCAAACAAAAATGTTTCTTTCAGGTTTTAGTAACCTTTTACTTTACCATATTTCTACAGGTCCTGCTAAAATGACTCTCTCCATCAAGATTCAGTTTAGCAAAGTTGATATTCAACCCCGTCCCTGTACAAACAGTTTTATTAGAGTTCAAACTGTGTAGGTCTCTAGACTGTTAAATTACACATAAAATTCAGCAGTTCTGACACACCTTTGGATTTCTATCTGTACATATAATGAGATTGCACTATACTCTTGTCTATATATTGGTGCATTTACTCCTGCTTTTGCTGATCTTATGATACGCTGTTGAAATCTTCTAACTTTTGCGAACTCTGATGACAATCCCTGTAGAAACAATATCTATTGTTAACAAATTTAATGAAGCCTGTGTTTTATTCTTCTGAGATTTGCCATCTTAAAGTCTTGATGGCATAGCTTTCAGGATGAAGAGTAGGAAAAAGGCAAATGGACTCAAGTGTCTGATCAAAGCCATGGAGTGACGTTTAGGCAAAAGACAGATGTTATGCAACCATTTTCAGAATCAATTCCATTGAAAAATATTCCACTGATAAAATAAAGAGGGTATTAGATAAATGTAGAGGGACCCTTGAACTTATTTAGTCCAACAAGTTCTTGTTTCCTTGCTTGTTTTATTAAAACATTACCTGTTTTAAATGTAAATAACAGCATGTTCCTATAGCAAGTACTCCCAAGCTTCCCTCTCCTTTTCATCCATCAGTGAGTTTGACGTTTGTTTAAAGTGCTGTTGAAACTCATAACTAAGCAAACTGAAGCATTAGAGTCAAGTATGAACTTGGTATACTGTACTTTTCATGAAACTGTATAGTAACTATGAATTCTCATAATGAATACACTTCACCTAAGCCTAGGGCTATGAAGACTGAAATCACCCCTCCACCCTGGTCCCAGGCCCTGACGTGTTTCTTTCCAGGCTGTTTTGAGGTAAGCCTTTTCCCAGGCAATCTGCTTTCACCATCTCTCCCTTGCTCTCCTCTTTTCCCTCCATATATAACATCACAGCTAAGCATCGCTGATCTGTTTAAGAGTGTCCAGTAGAATGCCTTTTGTGTGCAAGTTTCTAATTGAATATGCCTAATTAAAAAAAAATAAAATTGAAACTGATGACTTTTAACACTTATAGTTACCCTAGCAAAGGCCTCAATCTAAGGGAGTGAAGGAATATGAAACAAGTACTTCATATGAATATGGAACTTTCATATCAAGTGTTGATTTTTTAATTTTATTTTTAACAGTCATTCCTTTTTACAACACCAGCAACTGTCTTATATTCTATTGATTTACCTGACAGACCACTACATTGTTGTTGTGTGATATTTTGCTGTTGGACAAGCATTAGCAAAAACCAGTTTGATCACAGCATACTTTGAGTGCTGTAGATCTAGTTACAACAGGCTAGAAATCAGAAAAAGTTGGAAATGTTGTTTGTAGGATGAGAAAGTGTATATCCCATGTAGAGTTGGATTAATGTTGCAAACCTCTTTTTAAACTAGCTACACAGTGCTAAAAAAAAACCCAAAAAAAACCCAAAAAACCCACCAAACAAACAAACAGAAAACCCAAACAAAAATCAGTTTTGTGACTGTAAGTTTTTATGGTGGGGTTTTTTTCCCCCTTTATGAAAAAAAAGTTACTTCCTAACAGGAATTTTTGATAAAACAATCAGCTATGAAATAATGTTTCAGAATACTTGTAGGATAAGAGCTCCCTGTCAAGAACCTTTAACGATGAAGGGGCAGTCATACCCAATGATCTCCATGAGCAGTCACAAGAGCTGAAATCTTAGCAGCTGTTTACAAGAAAAGTGTAGCTGAATGACTTTGCATAATGAACAAATTGTTCCCAAACAGACAGCAAAATTTGCATAGAGAGTGGTCTATATCATGGTTGCACTTTCTCTTCTCCTTTCTTTTTAGGAGTTGAACGTCTCCCCTATATTTTGTTCAGAGATTTGTTCTATAATTGTGGCTCTTACACCATAAACTAGCAAATAAATTGTGACAGACAGACCTTGGGTAATTTTAGTAGGAAACTTCAAAATACAGAAGAAATATAAAAAAGGCGTTGCAAAATAACCTGATCTATTGATAATATATGGTAAGATTTTTAAAATAAAAAGCATATAGAGTAAAATATAAGAGACAAGTAAATTGCCTTGTCTGTTTATTGCACTTGAACCTTCTGTTGCCATTAGAAGTGAAATGCACATTGCTATAAAACCAGTCTTGTTAAGCAGGGAAACACAACTAGCTACAGAGAAGGAAGATTTCCCATCTCCCTTGATTTTTTGATGTGACAAACTAGCTTGACTGCATCAATGAACTGACTCACTAAGAAAATATGTGTCATGTTCCTCACATAAATGCTTTCCCTCTAGTAAATCTCTTTTGCCTCTCTCAGAGTCCTAAATTATGCTGAGTTAATAGTTATCTGAAGAGAGTGAATGAAAAAGGCAAGCCTCAGCTGTTGTTGTGTACTAAGCTGATGTCCACCTAGGTGCATCATTTATTGCTGCCAGGAAGAGGTCCAGTGATTCAGTACCTCTCTTTCAAAGCTAGATCAACTTTGTACTCTTTGTAAATGAGGTACACTTGCACCAGGTGGGCACACCACGATGTTGCATGAGTGCTGTTTGTATTTCTCTGTGGTTAAAGAGCAGTTTGACTAATGATTCCAGTAGTTTGGTAGCCTTTATCAGATAAAAAAGCCATGAAAAATCCCAGTGGCCACTTACATTATCCCACTAGATGGTACATTCAAAGGATACCTCTGGGACCAAATAAATAAAAACAAGTGAAGAATATCTGTAAGGAAAAACAGCAACAAACTTGAATGTAATGAAAACAGAAAATGAGTTAGTTGCTACTTAATGTTTTCATATCATAATTCTAGGTCATTGCACATCCAAGCTTTTTTAGCCTGTTGAAACATGATACTTTGTCTTAAACTTCTTAGTTTTAATTTCACCACTATTCATCTGCTAACTAGTAAATCGAGAGAGATTTTTTTTAACCTATATCTTGTTGGAGAAGTAAGTCAGAGATGTTTGGGTGGAGTGAGGAGGGCTATTATGGCAAAATATATGCCTCATTTCACAATAGAGAAATGGCTCAGCTTTGGAGAGCACTTCTCACCACCCATTCACATACTCACAATCACATTGCCAAATTAAATACTGGGAAATACTGACCGCCTTAAAACAAAGATAGCAAGAGAGATAACAGTAAAAGAGCAAAACCTCAGTGAAACAATAAAAGGAATGGATGATTTGTTCCAATGTAAAAGCACAATGATGGAATTGATTTTCCTCTGCAATGTCTTGAAAATAACTAGAAGATACTTTTCCCTTTTTTAATGTAAAAGAAGTATTATGAACTACTGTGTCAAGTAGCCAACTTTCAGTCTAGTTTGGGCATGTTCTCAGTGTAGCATCTGAGTTCATAGACAATTATCAGCAGGTATAAATTAAACTGCTCTTTACAGTAAGGGCAGATAACCACCTTTATTAAAAAGACTCATAAGTGTATCGTTGTCTTTAACTATTTGCTTACTTCCACTGATATGGTCAAATATATAAGGATGACTGGGTTAGGTGAGGTTGATGAAATTTAGCTATGCTTTACTGAGCAAGGTGAGATTTTCAGAAGTGAGATTATCATTGATTTCCTTTTAAGTTGTGAATGCTCGACCACTGTCTTATTAAAGTAGTTCTAGTTGGCTGGGTTTTGGATATGGATTTTTTTCTTCTCTTAAAAAAGAAGTAAAATGTTTTCCACAGACATCTCTACTTCTCCTTGCTGTATGAGAGCAGTGCCTTCTAGATACTATACTGCAGTAAAGAAAGACATCTTGCAATCAAGTATTGAGCAAAATTACTTGTTCTGGGAAGGGATAACCCTTAACCTTGAGAACTATGTGCTATGTTCATGATAAGTACTGCCCACCATAGGAGAAAATCAGATTCAAGACCCTCTAAGGAACCTTAATGTGCACAGATCCATGGGACCTGATGACATACATCCAAGGGTCTTGAGGAAGCTGGTAGATGAAGTTACTAAGCCATTCTATCATATCTGAAGAGTCATGGCAGACTGGGGAAGTTCTGCCATGGTGTAACTGCAGCCAGCAACTAAGCACCAATCAGCTGCTCACTGACTTTCTCCTAGTGCTGTAGGGGAGAGAACTGGAAGGGTAAGGGTGAGAAAACTCATGGGTTGAGGTAAAGGAAGTTTAGTAGGGAAAGTGAAAGCCACACACACAAGCAGAGCAAACCAAGGAATTAATTCACCACTTCCCATGGGCAGAGGGCGGGTGTTCAGCCCTCTTCAGGAAAGCAGGATTACATCATGCATAACGGTTACTCACTCATTCATGTCTGGGCTTCACGAACAAAGATTTGGGAAGGTCTCTACCCACGTTTGTTACAAGCGTGCTGGTGGCTAAAAAGGCCAATACGAGATAGCCACATCTGGTTGCAAAAGGCACAGTAGAAAGACTCCTTAGGTGGTATATTCTACAAGGAACGATTTTTTCTGCATTGTCTTTTCTCCTCAAGAGTGATCCTGCGTGCTTTCTCAAAGGCATCAGCAGCGTTATAGATAGTGTGTCTCCAGGTCTCCCAATTGGAGGCCAGAGTAGACCAATTATATTGATCAATATGGCCAAGGCTGAGATGTTGTTTCACGGAGTCCTTGTATCTTTTCTTCGGGGCTCCTCTCATGCAGCACCCAGTGGCAAGTTCATCATAAAGCAAGATCTTGGGAAGGCAGTGGTCTTTCATCCTTGAGACGTGCCCTGCCCAGTGCAGCTGTGTTCTCAGCAACATGGCCTCAATACTTATGACTGCTGCTTGTTCTAGAACAGATGTATTGGTCACATAATCTGACCAGTGGATGTTTAGGATTGTGCGGAGGCAGCATTGATGGAAGCGTTCTAGGAGTTGCAGGTGGTGGCGGTAGATGACCCATGATTCAGATCCATATAAGAGAGTGGACAGCACAATGGCTCTGTAAACACTGATCTTGGTACTTTTCTTCAAGTGTTTATTACACCATACTCTTTTATGAATCTTAGCGAAGGCACTGTATGCCTTTGCTAACCTGTTGTCTATCTCCCCGTCAATCTTACCATCCGAGGAGATGAGGCTACCTAGGTAATTAAACTGCTGGACTGATTTGAGCTCTGATTCGCCAATGGAGATACGGGGATGATGGAAGAGATCCTGAGGTGCAGGTTGATAGAGAACCTCTGTCTTCTTCAAGCTGACTTCCAGCCCAAAGAGCTCAGCAGCATCTGCAAAGCAGGATGTTAAACGCTGCAGAGCTGCTTCTGTGTGGGCCACAAGGGCGGTGTCATCAGCATAAAGCAGCTTCCAGACAAGATGGTTTAAGGTCTTGGTGTGGGCCTTCAGTCGCCTTAGGTTGAAAAGGCTTCCATCAGTACGGTATCGAATGTAGATACCGTCCTGATCGTCGAGGTCTGCTGTGGCCCTTTGGAGAATCATGCTGAAAAAGATTGTGAATAGGGTAGGAGCGAGAACACAGCCTTGTTTCATGCCATTCTTTATTAGAAAGGGCTCAGAAAGTGCATTGTCATATCTGACTTGGCTGTGCTGATCTTCATGGAGTGAGATGATCATTTTGAGGGACTTGGGGGGACAACATAAACCTTCCAAAATCTACCATAGACCTTTTCTGCTCACAGTATCGAAAGCCTTGGTGAGGTCGACAAAGGTTGCATAGAGACCTTTGTTCTGTTCCCTACACTTCTCTTGCAGTTGTCTGAGAACAAACACCATGTCTGTGGTGCTCCTGTTGGCTCTGGAACCACATTGGCTTTCAGGTAGAATTCCTTCTGCTATAGTGGGTATTAGTCTGTTCAAGAGTATTCTTGCCAGGATTTTACCAGCAATGGAGACCAGAGTAATATCACGGTAATTTGAGCAATCAGATTTAATTCCTTTCTTCTTACACAAAGTGATGATGACTGCATCACGAAGGTCTGACGGTAGTTTGCATAGTTCCCAACAGCGCACCACAAACTCATGAAATTTAGCATGGAGTGCAAGGCCCCCATGTTTCCAGACTTCAGGTGGAATTCCATCAACTCCAGCTGCCTTGCCGATTTTCACCTGCTGTCTAAGCACTGGTCAACAATAACAAAAACATCCTTATATTATCAACACAGTTTTAAACCCAAATCCTAAACACAGACTCATACAAGCTATTACAAAGAAAATTAACTCTGTTCTGGCCAAAACCAAGTTTAGAAGTTTCCCAGGAGCAGCAAAAAGGGGAAACATAGCCCACAGTTTTAAAAAGGGGAAAAAACCTGTGGCCAGCAGATCAAAGGAGGTGATTCTTCCCTCTACTTCACTCTTGTGAGACCCTACCCTGAGGAGGTCCACAAAGATGATCAGGGGACTGGAGCATCTCCTCTATGAGGACGAGCTGAGATAGCTGGGATTGTTCAACCTGGAGAAGAGGAGATTCCAGGGAGACCTCATAGCACTTTCCATAATACCTGAAGAGAGCCTACAAGAGAACAAGAGAAGGACTTTTTACAAGGGTATGTAGTGATGGGACAAGGAGTAATGGTTGTAAACAGAAAGAGGGTAGATTTAGATTAGATATTAGGAAGAAATTCTTTACTGTAAGGATGGTGAGGCACTGGAACATGTTTCCATGATAAGCTGTGGATGCCCCATCCCTGGAAGTGTTCAAGGCCAGGTTGGATGGGCTTTGAGTGATCTGGTCTAGCAGAAGGTGTCCCTGCCCGTGACAGGACAGTTAGAACTAAATCTTTAAGATCACTTCCAACCCAGATCATTCTATGATTCATCTTAATAATGGGTATCTGGGCAAGAATATGAATTTTTATAGAGCTTTTTCTTCCTGTAAGTGAAAGAACTGAGGTCAACTTGAAATTGAAATTACTTGAAATTACTTCCCATTAAGTCAATGGACTTTCAGAATAACTACCAACGGACATAATTTGCTACCTCAATAGTTTTCTAAGCAATTTTGTCACATTGTACTCCCTCCAGGAATATCCAACTTAAATGCCAGAAATAAGAGCTGAAGAATGGACAAACTCTAATTTTATCCTCCTAACTACAACAGCTGGAAGAGGATACTTCAATTTTTAAGAGCTCCTATAGATTTATAGATGCAATATCTGAAGTACCACTGGCTGTCATTTCTGACAGCTGTCAAAATTTATTTAACAGCAGCAGCTTTACACAAATTATATTTGCCCCCAAAAGGAAACATTTTCTCTCTTTCAGTGTTTTCACTGAAATAGCAGGTTTTTATAAAATTATTTCTATTCAATTAAAATTTTATATGTATTCTATGTATATATATATTTAAAATGAATATTGTAAGTAGGAGCTGCTGTCCCTCCCAAAATCTCAAGCCAATTAGGGAGCATCAGAGAGATTTAGGAAGGATGGGATTTCCAGCAATTTCTCTGTCAGTGCAGCTGCACGTGCAGCTGGAAGTGGCACTGCTGTGCTGCCCTTTGCACTGTTCCTTTGTGCCACTCCAGGTGGGCAGATGTGTTTATACCTGTTGGCCAGGTTTTTTTTACCCTTGTTCTGGACAAGTCTTGGAGGTGCAGGGTTTCTCTGGAGAAGTTTATTTTCTTTGGAGAAGCTTGTTATACTCCAGATTTGCTAAGATGTTGCATTAGGTTGCAGCAAAGATAAGATTTGAACGGAAAGCCAATCATTCCCAAATCCAAAACAGCTTATACCGGCTTGCTGACTTTTCTTCACATTCTGAAACGAAAAAAACACTCAAACTGTAGGTTGTAGAAACAAAACCAGACACAGGCAGTGATTATAACCTTTCTGAAAACAGCTCTTACAGGGCAAAAATCTTCTATGGTGCTAAGGACCCACGCCACAGGCTGTCTGCAGTGAGGCTACCTGCCATTCATGGGCAGGTGCAATCCCAGCAAATTACTCAAATGTTGGGCCAAACTACTGTGTCTCCAATATATGGGTCAAGAGGTACAACTGAGACCTACATGGAACCACAGGCATTTAATATCAGCTCCTAAGGTCATTT